TCATTATTATCCATGTCGGTTAGACCATCTACGTCCCTGCAATTCATTTATACTTTCAATTGTATCAAATCAGCTTTTGTAATTACCATCTATACACGTACAATTCACCTACACTTTCAAAAGTGGTCATTGTTACCACATTTATTAATTACTTTATAAATTATTATTTGTATTCTAATTATGTTTTAGTAAATACATGATATATAATTGTTTATTTTTATTCAATCTTTTAATAAATACACGGTATAATAATATATTATAATTATTTTATACATGATTGTTGTGACCACTGTTAGTATCCTTATATGACTTCAAATACTAAGGGGCCGTTTACCCAAATATTTATTCGGTAAGTGCTTATCAATAGGAGTCAACACTATAATTTATTTTGATGCGTAAGATTTTAGTATATCAAAACATATCGAATACAATAATTTACTGGGCAAACACTTACCTAGGTAAGAGTCGTCATCCTCACTTATCGGGTAAGACTCTCCATCATTCTCATCGTTTTTACTTGGTAAGATTCTTGGTCTTTTTCATGTTCATCTAATGAGAAAATTTATGCATTAAATACTTGCCAAATAAGTGTTTAGTAAACGGTTTATAAGTTTGCAACTATTAATGCTAATGTACAAATGTTAAAAAAAAAAAAAAATCCCACGTTTCCTTCTAAACCTCATCTCATCGTTTCTTTACTTGTTTTTCTTTTTCTTGTAATAAATTACAAAAATTGTCCCTCGACTTTATGAAAACTTTGGTTTTGGTCCCTTACTTTTTGAAGTTACATGAATGATCATCGAAGTTTCATTTTCGTTACAATATTTGTCCCTGGCTGTTAGGACTACCAAGTTGGTAATGCTAACATATAAATGTGAATGATGTGATTAAATGAATTTATAAAAGTGTAAAACCTAAAATTAAAAATGTAAAAACACAAGCTAAAAGTATTTTCTAAAAACCCTTAAACATCACACTTTGAAAAAAAATGTACGTCGTGACCTGCCTTGGCACGCCTCAAGACATTATGACATAGGTCACTAGGCATGGGAATGGGGCGGAGATCCCAATACCCGTCGCCGTCCCTGATCGCTCGTATTTGTCCCTGTCCCTGCCCCTATCTCTGCCGGGGATTATGATCACATCTCCATCCTCGTCCCCAAAGGAGAACGGAGATCTCTAATGGGGAAACAAAGATTTTTTTATACCAAAAAACTATACAATATTCACTATTTATTGAACTAGTAAAAACACTACCAAAATATTAAACTAAAACTTAGACAAGACCAAAAAGTGTAAACTAATACTGTCAAAGTTAACGTCAAACGTACCAGAACTACATCGAGTAATATCCAAAACATACCAAATAATTGACTAATTGTATTTTGACTTAGAATTCACATAAAATTACATACTATCTACCATCCAAACCATCACTTGTTACTCGACATTCATATCATATGTGATTATTTCATCAAATGCTATAGGCTCTCCATGTTTTTTTTATCTACAAAAAGTAAGACAAGTTAGAAAAAAATATAAATACTTGTACGACAAAGAACTTAAATATTTTTTACCTTGAAGTTCTTTCCGATAACCAACTTTGAGTGCACATTAATGCTCCAACTGTTTGTGGGTGGAGTCGACTACGTTGTTTTGTGATTTTGTTACCGCTCATGCTAAAAGCATATTCGAAAGCTATCGTAGAAACTGATACGGCTAAAACATCTCTTGCAATCCTTTGGAGCATAGGAAACTTGGACCCGTTGCATTTCCACCACATTAAGATATCAAAGCCTTCTTCATTAGGCAACAATTTTTAGGCCAAATAATCATCCAATTCACTTGTTTCCAAGACATCATCATCACACATCATAAACTCAAAATCCATCATCCATGTAGGTTTGTTGAAAGTGAAATCATCTACATCTAAGGGACTAGTTGTCATTTTTGTGAAGATTTGCCGGCTTACTTCTTTTTATACATAGGTTACTTATCCTCATAACCTCCCTTTTTGCTTCATCACCGTAGATTTTCAGAAAGAAATAGTTTATTAACTTTAACTTATATCTAGGATCTAACACAATTGTTACACTCATAACCTCGTGTATGACACTCCAATATTTGTTGAATTTGATCAACATCAATGATGTCATTTCCCTAATAACATCGTGGTGAGATTTTTTCCAACTCAACTAAGACACTTTAATTTCATAAATCAACGGGAAAAAGATGTTTGACGTAGGATATAATGTTTCTAAAAACTTTTCAGTTACACAATAAAATAACGTTAATGTTTTACAAACAATTGACGTCATCGCCCTTTCATTTTCACTAGGCAAGCAAACATAACTTCTCTCCTTGCTCAAACGACTAAAGACATCCTTATACTCCAAAGCAACAACAATCAAGAACTAATTCATTTTCACAATTTACACTTAATTGTTGTGTATATAATTTAAATTCTTGTACTCTCTTAGGAGAGTTTGTCCAAAATGCAACATTATTCCTAACATATTCAATAGCTCTCCCAATTGTAGAAAATCCATCTTGCACAATAAGGTTAATTATATGTGCACAACATCGCATATGAAATATCTTCCCTTTTAACGTTAGCGATGAAGAATAAAGAGTACTTAAAATCTTGTCGATTATTACATCATTTGTCGAGCAATTGTCAAGAGTCAGAGTTGACAAATTGTTGTTGACATTCCAATCGAGAAGACACTCCATCATAGCTTGTGACAATGCTTCGACCGTGTGTGGAGATGGCACATGTATAAAGATGCATTAAACAAAATAAGATATTATTACCAATAAATTAATTCACGATATAAACTAGAGATTATTACCTGATGATTAGATTCTGTAAACTCCATTTGCCATCTATATAATATGTCGTAATTGTCATGCAACCTTTCTTTTGGTTACTTGTTGTCCACATATCTGAAGCTAAGGCAATCCTACTCTCATTCTCCTCTAAACACCGCAAAGTGTAACCTCTTTGTTTTTTTTTTATAAATCTTCATTATGTCACTCATTATTGTTGCTCGAGATGGTACCCTAAATAAATGTTGGAGACCTTCTAAATATTTTCGAAAAATCATAGTGTTCGACAATAGAAAGTAGATAATCATGTATGATAATCATTTTAGCTAAGTCTTCCCTAGAAAGCTCAGCATCAAATGAATATTTACTCATTTTCTCTTTTTTGTCCGAAGCCTTTTGGTCCTGAACTAGGATTCATTGTCTAATATCCCTTGTAATTCTCCTTGGACAATTCTTAAAATGGTCCTTCAAATGTGTGGTTCCGTCGTTGGCTCTACCCATTAGTTGCTTATTGCAATAATTACACCTTGCAAATCGTCTAACACCATCAACATACACTTGTTAAAATGATTCCAAACAACCGACTTTAACCTTTTTTGTGGTTGTTCATTGCTCGTGTTAGTGTTAGTCCCTGCAGGCATGCTTACGGATTCGTAAGTATCATCACCGGTTGTTTCTTGTTTCTTGTTCCTTGTTTTCTTCCATCTCATCACCAAGTATGTTCTCATTTTCCGAAGGTTCCATCTAAAATTAATTGTATGTGAATGGAAAACATTAATGAGAATATATAATAAACTTACAAACCTAAAACCTAGATGAAATATGAAGAAACGACTTTTATTGCAGTCTTGAATCTTTTTATTATAAGTTTACAACTGGTTAACATTGTCCTCTTATAACAATTGCTAGTTGTTTTTAGCAGCCAACCAAGTATACAAGTCGTTGATGGTTTTCTTCTTACTAAAAGATATCCATCTTAAGTATAACAAACTTAATCACAACCTAGTTTTATTAGCGGCCAACCATTACAACATATGACAAACTTTTTGGGGGTATTGGTTCATTAATTGTGGTAGTCTCCTAAACATAGAGGTAATTCACCACCGTTATGATATATAGGATTATCTAAAAAGAAAACATTGAGAGGAGAATTAGTATTCCAATTGGTCATCAAATCTAGTAGATAAAACCTTCTTACCAATTACCAATCCTATTCCTACCACACAAAAAAAACCTAGATGAAATCTGAAGAAACAATCGTTCAAGTAAATAAATGCGAGGAAAAGAAATGGGGAACTTAAATGAAAGTAAAACAAGAAGAATCTGAAAGTTACAACTTATAGTCTTACAAACCTAAATGAACTCAGGCTGACGGTGGGCAGAGGTTGGAGGTAGAGAGCCGAGTGAACAGGCGAGGGGCCGAACAAGGCTCTGGAAGAATGGAATATGTTATCGATTTCGAACAAGGCTTAAGGCTCGATTTGAAAGAAGGGAGGCGAAGTGGCAAACATGAGGAAATGGTTAAGGGCGAAAGGCTCTTGAGATTCAAAGACTAGAAATTGCCAAATTGGAATAAAATTTAAAAATATTAAACTAATAAGGAATATGTATTTTATATTTAATAATTAATATATAAAACTGGTATGGGGCGCGGCGAGAAGTGATATACCTGTCCCCGGCCCCATTCCCGGCTTGAGCCAAACGGGGATCCCTGTCCCCGTCCCTGAGACCTGATTTATTGGGGAATCCCCGTCCCCGTTTGAGGCAGGTGGGTTGCCCGACGGGTCGGGACTCATTCCTATGCCTATTTATAGAGAGTTTAGCATAGTTGAAGCAAACTTTTCTCAATCTATAAAATTTCTAAAACAACATAGTTGTTAGAAATGCTCTAAAGTTTTCAAGTAATTAAATAAAAAACTGGTTTCCTATAAAACATAAATAAAATCAAATTTGGCATTGTTATCTTGATCTAACTAGTGTTATTTGTAGTTGTGTTCTTTTTTATATTAGGATCATATTTAAGAGACGCTACAATTATGGTAAAAATTCTATTCGGACGGTTAAATTATGAAAAAGAAAACTACAAGAAATATTAACTATATAATCAGATCTTTTATAACATATTTGATCAGAATGACGAAAATAACTACATGTTTTTGAATATAAAAATGTCAGAAGGGGTTAAGGGTATCACACATGCTGGGATTTCGAATGCACCATAGCGGTTGAATTGGTTCGAATTTCACCCCTCGGCTAACCATTCGGTTAATCCACTCGTTCAACCTATTTGTGGCCTCCGCATAGCTCTTCTTCCCGGTCTCATCCCGATTCCCGGACCACAACACCTCRGCCATAGACGAGGCTCGAGGCCAAATCCGTGAATCAAGAACCGTGGGGTCTGCCTGCTCGGACCACAAAGCCACCTCCCCACCCAAGACCAACTTTGCCTCGGTYTCKTTTARCCCGTATGTTATATCGTAATTGTATATCAATTGCCATGAATTGAACGACCCACACCACGATCCACCCTTTCCCTGTTCGAAACCCGGTGGTTGATCGTAAGCACTGTTATTCCCGACAAAATCCCCGTGTCCACAATCCAAGTAATAGTAATCGGAGGAGGACACTATAGTTCGGTAACCGGCTGACACCAGTTTTTTTGTGTTGTTCGGGCCACCGTTCCATGTTTGCATGATGGTGGTCTCGGGAGGGAGAATCGAAGGATTCACCTTGATTTCAGCATCGAGAAGAACATCCTCCCAATGGATGACGGTTCGGTTAAGCGACAAAATGTAAGGGTTGGTCGAGTTGATGAAGATCTCGAGGACCTGACTGAGAGTCCCGTTACTGGCAAGATACTTTTGGATGGTGTCGTCAGCCGTCCAACAACCCGGAATGATATCAGCAGCTTCGACATGAAAAAATGAATCTGGGAACAGGGTTGTCATTTCTTTGATGATGTTCTTGACAACGTCGTACGTCTTGGGTATTAAAGGGTTCAGTTGACCAGTTCCTAGTTCGACTGCAAGCCGATCTTCCCATGGGGACCTAGCCGGCCACCAGACATGTTGGCACAAGCTACAATCTCCGGATAAGCTTCGGCCCATGATCCGGTATGTGTTGCGAAATGATATATGCTTACATTTTTGTGTAATGTTTTCTTGAGTTCTAAATCAGCTAAAAGTGGATACATTTCTTTTCATACACTTATGAGTGAAGGACTTACCTGGCATTTCGATCTCCGGAATGACTCGGACTTCGTGTTCCAACCCGAGTTCGATGATCCGCTTTACATCCTCCATCGAATACTGCATGTTCAACCCGTACGATCCTTTTCCGGCAAGTTTCAGCTCCGATTTCAAAGCCAACGAAAACGAATGTGAATCCGTGATGTGCCAATGGAACACATTCAATTTATTCGCACTCATGCCCCCAATCAACCTCAACAAATCCTCAACACCATAGTAATTGTTGGGTTTTTTGTTAGTGGGTCATGTTTGAATAAGTCTCTGCTTTGCAGGGGAAGTTTGTTTTGTTTTTGAAGTTTTCCAGCTTTCCAATAGAATAGGGAGTTTGTTGTTTTCAACGTTTGTTATTTTCTGTGGTGTATTTAAGAAGCCAATTGGTAGCATGAATAAGTAGAGAGGCTTTTGAGCACCAATACTGAGTATTACTGTGTGTGTGGTACCATAACATTTGGTATCAGAAACAATGGAAGAGCTATTTACTGTCAAAAGGTGAGGAAGAAAGGAAGATATGGAGAACTCTGATAAGTTTGTTCAACCATCAATTCCAAAGTTTGATGGTCATTTTGATCATTGGGCTTTGCTAATGGAGAATTTCCTAAGGAGTAAGGAGATGTGGAACCTGGTGGAAAATGGCGTTCTCGCACAAACGGCCAATCTAAGTGAAGCACAGAGGAAGGCTTTGGTTGAAGCCAAGTTAAAGGACTTGAAAGTGAAGAACTATTTGTTCCAAGCAATTGAAAGGGAAATCTTGGAAACTATCTTGGATAAGAGCTCTTCAAAAGGCATTTGGGACTCCATGAGACAGAAGTATGAGGGCTCTACAAAGGTGAAGAGAGCTCAACTGCAGGCTTTGAGAAGAGAATATGAACTTCTCTCAATGAAGGATGGTGAAAAGGTCGACAATTACCTTGCCCGAACCCTAACGATTGTGAACAAGATGAAGGCAAATGGTGACCCTTTGACCTCAGGTACGGTTGTTGCCAAAATAATACGATCTTTGAGCCAAAAGTTCAATTACGTTGTTTGTTCGATTGAAGAATCAAACAATCTCGACACTATGACGATAGATGAATTACACGGTAGCCTACTGGTTCATGAGCAGCGCATGATCGGGCAACAAGAAGATGAGCAGGCTTTGAAAATAACGACTAGTTCACCCTCTCGAGGTCGGGGAAGGGACGTGGTGGTTTAAGCAGAGGTAGAGGACGTTGCAAATCTTCCTTCAACAAGAATACTATCGAATGTTACAAATGTCACAACCTTGGACACTTTCAAAGTGAGTGTCCAAATTGGGAGAATGATGCTAACTATGTCGAGCATGACGATACGGAGGAAATGGTGTTGATGGCTCAAGATGGCGGTTCAACAAAATAGTGTGTTTGGTTTTTGGATTCGGGTTGCTCGAATCACATGACGGGAGAGAAGAAATGGTTTTGTTCATTGGATGATACCTACCGTAATAACGTGCGTCTTGGAAATAATATGCGTATGGCTGTTTTGGGAAAAGGAAGTGTACGTCTATATTGAAGGGATCGTTCATACGTTAACCAATGTGTACTTTGTTCCCGATCTCATGAATAATTTAATAAGCATCGGTCAAGTTCCAGAAAAGGGGTTGAAGATATTAATAAAGAAAGGAACTTGCAGCATGTTCCATCCAAAAAGAGGCCTGATCACACGCATCCAAATGAGCTCAAATAGGATGTTCATGATCAAAGCTAAACCAAGTTGTAATGAGGAATGTCACAAATCAGAAACTGATGATATTACTCTTCTTTGGCATCAAAGGTTTGGACACATCAACAATAGGAGTTTAAAGGTGCTACATGACAAAGAACTGATGAAGGGGCTGCCGGCTATCAATACTGAAGTGGGTACTTGTGCAGATTGCTTGGTGGGAAAGCAAACTAGAGAGCTATTTCCAAAAGCATGTTCGTGGAGGGCAACCCAACGATTACAGCTCGTTCATTCCGACATTTGTGGACCTATCACCCCCCAGTCGAGTAGTCTAAAGAGGTACATTCTTAATTTCATTGATGATTTCTCAAGGAAATGTTGGAGCTATTTTCTTACAGAAAAGTCACAAGATTTAGAAACTTTTAAAAAGTTTAAAGCCTTGGTTGAGAGAGAAGCAGGAACGGTGATCAAGTGTTTGAGAACTGATAGAGGAGGGGAGTTTAATTCCAGGGAGTTTAAGCTATTTTGTGAAGATAATGGGATACAACGACAGCTTACCGCAAGCTATACGCCACACCAAAATGGTGTGGCTGAGAGGAAGAACCGAACCATGATGAATATGGTCCGAAGTGTGATGAGTGCTAGAAAGGTTCCAAAGATATTTTGGCCGGAAGCCACCAACTGGTGTATACATGTCCTTAACCGAAGTCCTAGTGTAGCTCTCGAAAATAGCACACCTGAAGAAAAGTGGAGCAATCGAAAACCCTCTGTAAGTTATTTTAGGGTATTCGGTTGTATTGCTCATGTTCATGTGCCTAAAGAAAAAAGATTAAARTTGGATGATAGAAGCTTTAAATGTGTTCTATTTGGGGTTAGTGAAGAAGCCAAGGCATATMGACTCTATGATCCAACTACCAATAAGATTATTGTTAGCAAGGATGTTGTATTCGAAGAAGAAGCCACGTGGAACTGGTCTCAAGAATCTGGAATTAAGGTTTCAGAATTAGAATGGGAAGATAATAATGAAGATGGGCAGGTTCATCTGACGTTACAAACGAGTTATTCAATGACTCAACTGGGCCTCACAATTCTGATGGGACTGGCAATTTGGATGGTCCATCAAGTGGGACTGAAAGTGGGTCTTCAGATGTGAATCCGGTTACAACTACAACCAATGAAAGGGGAAGAAGGCAAACGAGAGCACCCGCTTGGATGCACGATTACGTCAGCGGAGAGGGGGTTCTTAGTGATGAAAATCAGGAGGAGAATGTCGCCATGTTCTCTTCTTTATCGGAGCCTACAAATTACCATGATGCAGTGCAAGAGGAGTGTTGGAGACATGCTATGAAGCTTGAAATTGAGGCGATCGAGAGGAATAACACCTGGGAACTTTGTGATTTACCCCCAAGTACGACAACAATTGGAGTAAAGTGGATGTTCAAGACCAAGTTAGACAAGGATGGAAATATTGATAAGCATAAGGCTCGACTCGTAGTGAAGGGATACGCTCAAAGACAAGGGTTAGACTACTCGGAGGTCTTTGCTCCGGTGGCTCAGTGGGATACAATCAGAACCGTCTTCGCTTTTGCTGCACAAAGAGGTATGAAAATTCACCAGTTAGACGTTAAAAGTGCCTTTTTGTATGGCATGCTAGAAGAAACTGTCTTTGTAGGGCAGCCCCAAGGTTTTGAAGTGCACGGTAAGGAGGAAAAAGTATACCGACTAAGAAAGGCCCTATACGGTTTGAAGCAGGCTCCGAGGGCCTGGTACGGGAGGATAGAAAGCTACTTTCTTAAGGAAGGGTTCAAGAAATGTCCTTATGAACCAACACTATTTGTTAAGTCGGTCAAGGAGAATGATGATTTTCTAATTGTTTCAATTTATGTAGATGACTTGATTATAACAGGAACCACACTTGCATTAATTGAGAAATTCAA